ACTTCGTCTATACTCTAATAAAAAGTTCCTCAGACCAAAGAGGTCACCTTAATACCAAAAAAAAAAAAAAAAAAAAACAATTATTTAAAATAATGTGCGCTATACACTTAGACTTGTTCTACTATATCGAACTTTATGCACATTGAATCTAAAATTTGGTACGCATTGTACACCAAATTTTAACTTTGAATTTTATTCCCTGTGTACAAGAAGGGTTTTCTTTAACCTATCCTAGTTAGATTTATTTTATTTATTTAAACTAACAATAATATTAATTACTGATCCGGATAAGACTAGTACAAATTTATTATAAAAATTTGGGGTGAATTTTATTAATTTTATATAATAAAACAAAAAATATACAAAAATATCAAAAAGGCAAAATGTAAAAAAATTGCCGATATCCAGTTTTTATTTTGCAGATAACTAGTTGAAGAGCTCTAGAAATGAATTATAGCAAAAAAAAACCGGATCTTATTTAGTATAGGTGGGAATATACAAATATTATAAGATTATCTGACATTTTATATGATTATGTGAATTTTTTTGCCATGATATTTTTTGCATAATCAGTTTTGCTAAACATCACGGAAAAAACTTCACATGGTTATATTAACTATTGGATAACATCATTATTGAACATACGTACAACAAATAACAGCAAATTGTTTTTTTTCATCAGAGTTAATTTCACTCATATGCTGCTACGCAGCACATGGAGTGACATTAATTCTGACAAAAAAAACAATTTGCTATTATTTTTTGTCGTCTGTCCAATAATGTACACTTATTTAATATAAAAAAACTCTAACCCTAACCCAAAGCTAACTAAAAACTATACTATAACTCTTATCCTAACTCTAACTATTCTCAAATCTGTTTAAATTAGTTTAAATAATTATTTTTATATTATACTAAATATCAACCAAAAAACTATATTACTTTATAAACAAAAAACTTTACTTTAGACTCCCATCAGATTTCAACTATAACAAGTAGACAAATGCGCAATTGTAATAAATACGAATATACAAAAAAAAAGAAAAAAAAAACAACTAATACAAAAAATAAGCGATAAGAAACTAAAAAAAAAAAAAAAACAGCAACAAATATGGCATATCAAAAAAAAAAAAAAAATTGAAATTACCAATATATAGAGTATGTATATTTATTACAAATTTGGGTTATTTTCCTCCAAAGAATTCCCTGCCATTGCTTGTTTCCACGCTTTTGAGAAACTACTTATCCAGTTTGAAATTGTTGACACCTTAGGCATGTTGACCTTATTGATTTCATCTTTCTGTGAGTGATTTAACAACTCTTGTTGCATTTCAGTTGCCAACAATTTGTTTCTTGGGCTTGCTGTTCCAGTATAAAATATAGTTTCTAACAAACTTTTTACTTGAGGCGTAAGACATTTTACAAATACTCTGCTTTTCTTTTGCTTCTCCTTGAGACACCAGCTAGCAACAAACTTCTAGTAACTAGTATATAGAAATATAAAGAGAAAGAATGAGATTGAAAGAAATGAAGATAATGAAAAAGAATAAAATATGAAGAATGTAAGAAAATAATAAAAGACAAAAGGTTGAAAGCAAAGGAAAGAATGGCAAAAGCAAAGAATCGTAAAGAGAAAAAATAAAGGTAAGAAAAAATGGCAAAGGAAAAAATTGTAAAGAGAAAATAGAAAAGGAATCAAAAGAATGAATAGGAAATGAAAATAAAGAAATGAATTAAAAAGAATGGAAGAAAAAGTAATGGAAATGTGAAAAGTGAAAAAAAAAGATGAACAAAAGAAAAGAGTGAAAACAAAAAAAGCAACGGAAGAAAAGAACAAGAAATAAAAAGGGTAAAAGTATGGAAATGTGAAAAGCATGAAGAAAGATGAACGAAAGTAAAGACAAAAAAAATATCGAAAAAAAAGAACAAAAGAAAAAAGAGTAAAGGTATGGAAATGTGAAAAGCGAAAAAAAAGATGAACGAAAAGAAAAGAGCAAAGACAAAGAAAACAACGGAAGAAAAGAACATGAGAAAAAAAAGGTGAAGGTATAAAAATGATAGGAAAAAAAAAAAATAATATAAGCGAAAATATAAAAATAAGAACATTTCTAATTTACACCACAGGTGATTATCACCTGTAGTCAATTTACCAATTAAAATTCAGGATCAGGTGTAATATATAAATCAATTTTGTGTAACAAAAACAATGAATTTTTTAAAAAACTACTTATATGTTTATAAAACCACCTTTTAAGCTCTAATAAAAAAAATTTCTTGCCAAATTTTACTATATAAAAAGCTCTACCCTAACTACTAACCCTAACCTCTAACCCTTACCCTAATCTTAAAAAAATTAATTTTTGTTTTGTTAAAAATTAATTGTTTTGTTTATATTGTAAATCACAGGTGATAATCACTTGTAGTGAATATTAGTTAATTTCTAAAAATAAATAGAATTGAGAAAAATAAATAGTGAATGAAATAAATAGGATTGTAAAAAGTAAATAAAAGTGAAATATAAATAAGATCATAATAAATAATCCAAAGTTTATAAATAAATAACAAATATGTTTGCAAACATATAAATAGGTAAAAAAATAGATGCAAGAAATATAAATGAAAGAGTTAATGAAATATGAGTGAAAGTAGTTAATAAAATATGAATGAAAAAATTAGTAATATGAAATTGAGGCAGCAAATATTAGATAAAGTTCAATAAATTCACAAAATAAAAAATAAAAAATGAAATTGTAACCCTTCAGGCTTGGTGTAAGCTTCTATTTTAGCTGCATTTATTAAGTTAACCATTTTCTGAATCATGATAAACTATTTTTAGTCATCCATTTATTATATGCAAATAAATATTGGCAAATTACATATGCAATCATCATCATCCTTGCCTTCTAAACTGTTATTTAATAAATCTAATAAAATACATAAAATTTGAGTTAGTATTTGAACAAAATATCTCTGATATTACTATAAGTTATCAATCACCAAGTATTATTCTATTTACTAAAAAATAGAATTATAAAATTTCAGTACTATTTAGCACTGCTTATAGAAAAATCGCAGTTCGGACTTTCAATTGTAATTTGTATTGGACACAATCCCTAATAAATTAGATAGATTGTATCCAATACAAAATATAATTAAAAGTCTGAACTCGAATTTCTCTTGGTAGCACCCAAATGAAATAACCTCTTAAATCAACACAGGTAATAATCAACCCAGGTAATGTAAGCAGTAGTAGGCTTTTGTTTAGCTATCATTTCCCACATAATCATTTCAAAACTATAAATTTCTGAAGCTTCTATATAGTTTTCGCCTTTAAATATTTCTGTGATACAAATCAAAAATCGATTAGTTGGCTTAGTTGACAACTAATCGATTATTTAATTTTTATTCGATTTTAATATAAGTTGACAATCGATTAGTTGACAACTAATTGATTATAAAATTTTTGCTAATTTGTATCACTAGTAAGCAGTGCAAAACAGTCCTACCCTATAGTATACTAGTTAAAATTAGAAATTTAACAGTGAATTTTTTAATTTCAACAAGTGATATCTAGATTATAAATCTTTGCAACCTTGAATTTCCGGCATTGGCATGGTCCAAGATTTGCTCGGATGACTGTGTATAGTAATAGTAGGTTCTGGTTTTTTTATAACCCGTTTTTTTATAATTTTTTGAATATTTTCGGGTGTGAATTTTTCTATGGACCAATTCCAGGTAAAGGTCTTGCATAAATGCATCTCGTTTCACTTTCATTATTGGACCAAGACCACTCATGCCAATTCTGGATTTCTGCTATTGTTCCTAGTGCTGTATCATTATTACCTGTATAATTAAAAATACATTTATTGTCTACTTATATATTATAAATGAATCTGTATTACTTTATTTAGCTGACATCATGCAACTAATAAAATGCTAACTCTAACTCTATGTGAATTGGCTAAATGAACTTTCTGTAAAATGACTGATGGTAAAGCGAAGACATCGATTATAGATATTGTCAGCTCTCCCCAAACCGATATGCATGGTAGACAGGTTTTGTATCAGCTTTGGAAGGTTATTGGATTTGGAAAAATCACATGACAAGCTAATTGATAATCTACTAATCAAATTACAGAACCAGTACTAATGGTTTTTATAAAATTCGTCAAATTTTCTCAAAATTTGACAAACGTTTTCTCGATAACTACTTATTCAAATCAGTTCAAAGTTTCACTGTAAATAATGTATATATTTATTTATAACATACTAAAAGTTCAGCTAATTTGGATTGATAGTTCTTGAGAAATCACTTGTATGTGATGGTTAATTTTTTAAAAAATTGTATACAAGCAGTTTTTCAAAAACTATCAATCCAAATTAGCTGAAATTTTTGTATATTATAAATAAATAAATATATTGTCTATAAAAAAAATTTGAGCTAATTTGAATTAGTAATTACCGAGAAACATTCATCAAATTTTATAAAAATCGATCTTTTTATGGCTCATTAAGGGTAGGGTGAATGTCAATCATTTTTACTAGTGATCACATTACTAATTTTTTTATAATAATATTCAATTGAAATCAGGTGATGATCATATGATATTTATGTTGTGTAACTTAGAAAGAATTAATGATATATGCAAATATGTTTTCTTTAAATAATACAGAGGTTCAAATTATTATAATTAGAATTAGAGGGTCTAATATATCTACCCAAAACTTTTATGAAAATTGATTATATTTTTAAAAACTTTTATATATAACATGTGTTTGATTTTTGTGTAATATTTTTTTGGTTAATCTACTTATATTAGAAATGATCTATGTCCACCCTACTCTTAAATTCATGATTCTGATTGGTTGTTAATCATGTGGCCACATATGATGAATTGGAAACTTATATATTTGGGCTATTGGATATTAGAAATGGCAGATTATTGGGTATGGATTAAGGAACAGGCCTGGTGGATCGATTTTTAACTGATTATGGCAGGTTATCGGTTTTGACAGGATCAGTTTGGGGAGGGCTGACAGTAAAGAGTTATATTCTTATATTGATTTCTATTCGGCTCTAAATAAGCAACGTGTATCTCTGCTAGATCCTTTATCGCTTCTTTAATATCTTCACCAGAGCTTATATCATGACCAAATTTGACATATCTGTTATCTGTAAAAAAATTATTAGACATGAAAATTATAATAATAATTTCAGGTTCATATTATTTCTCAAATAAATAAATATTTCAACAATTACAACTCGCTTAGTATTCTCTTATTATAAGCTTAGCCAGATTACTTTACTATAGTGAGAATAAGTTGTATGATAATTAATATTTCAAGTTCACCGATGAAAAATTAATGATTACTAATAATTGCATATTTGAAATATTAATTTTCACATTGACAAAAAATAATATAGACCTGATATATTTAATGCTTTTTTTTTTTTTTACGAACTTGTGCACGATAAGAATCTATCAAGGTTTTAGCTTTACCAGCTTCGAGGAATAGCCACTTTTTCACAGAAACATTATACTATTCTTTTCACTTTCTTAATATTATCATCAGTTCAGTATTGTAATAATGAGGGCCATTATCTGAAACAATAGTAATCTATTTAGGCGTATGATCTAGGCTTTCTAGTACAGCATGAAGTAAGGATGCGGTAAACCAAGCATCTTGCTTGGTATTACCGCTCCAGTGATCAAATGCTTGAATATCGAGCTTGCTTGTTTCAGCATTTTTGGTGTATATAAGTACAGAATGAAGAGTTTAGCCACGCTTATCAAAGAACTCAGGTTTTGTTTCTCGTACACTTTGTAAAAGGATTCTCATTTTGTAATCCACAATAAACAAAGCCCCATCTATATCGAGTTGAGCAAGTTCGACATTCAATTGTGTATTAAGATATGTCTTTCATGCATAATAAGCCATAAAATAGATTAGTTGATTTTGATGCTCAATTAAAAATTCATGAAACTCATTATCTATATTTGCCTTTAGGTTATCAAAAAAGATAAATAAGTTACTACAATTTTTGCAAATTTTGGAATGGTCTAAATGACAATTATCAAATACATGCTAGAGATAATAACTAATACACGGTAAGTATAAAGCAACTCCTATTGATAATACTTTTAGGTTGGTGGCAAAATCTTTACACAGATATCATCGCAAATTTTGAGCTATTCCATGCATATTTTCTTATTTTTTTTAGGTGATGCCTATTTCCAATATGAAAATTTACTGGAACAGTAAATCTTCATAGTGGAAATAGCCATTTTTCTTTTTTGCTTTTTATTATTAGTAAATATAAATATTTGAAAATAGAAAAAAAAAAAATCATACTATAAACTCAGAATTTTTAATTTTAGAGTCAATCAATAATAAGAGTTCATTAAAAACCTTATAGCCTAATTTATTACAAGTAGTGCAAAGACTGCCTAGATTTTCTTTATACACAAACCTGCCACCTTCCAACCGAGTTATAAAGCTTGTACATTGCATACCATTGGGATACTTCTCGTGAAATTTATTACATAAAGCTTTCTTGTAATCTTGAAGATATAATATAGGTAAACCTGTCGATTCATCTGTTTTATATGATGATATATTGATATTTCTTTTGGTTGTAAAAAATAATTCAAATTGATTTAATTGCTCAATTGTTAACTTTGTACGATGAATAACTGGTTTTGTTAAGGCTGGAGCACCGTATCCATTTATTTTTGCATATTTTTGCAATTCTAAAATTATATAATATCCAACCTATTGATGATATATAACTATTATTAAAATAGGACTTATTGATATCAATAAATTTATCTCTTAAACTGTAGAGCAATTCCAGAAAAATTTGCCTGGAAAATTACTATAAATTTGCTTATAATCTACTTTTTTTAAAATTTAAAATATTGAAATAAAATTTTTTTTGATAATATTTGAAAATAAGGATTATATTATCCCTTAAACTGTCCGTTTAGCAGGCAAATTTGCTTGCTAAAATTTTATAAATTCATGTTTGATTTACTTTTATTAAAATTTAAAATATTAAAAAAAGATTTTTTTTAAATAATAATTATAATCATATACTATCTAAAACTTATTTTTAACTTTTTAATATTTATAAAAAATTTGAAGTTATTTATAAAATAAAATTTTACAATTTTTTTAAAAAATTTTAATTTTAAAATTTTTTTTTTTTTTTTTAATTGTACTTAGTAAAAATTTAAAATCTAATTCCTACTACCTTAATAAAAAGTTGTAGAGTATCAAAAATTAAATAATTTTATTATTATATTTTTATAAGTTATTAAGCAAAATTTAAACTTACTTAGTAGTAATTAACCATTTTTTCTTTAAAAACATATAGAATTTTAAGAACCCTTTTAAAATTTTAATAGTAAAATTAAAAAATTGGGTTTATTAAAAATGTAATTTCTTTGTCAA